GGAAAGGAACATGGAGATTGTGACTATTATTGCTCTTTGTAAAATCAAAAGATGTCTTTGGAGTTGAAAAAGAAGATGGTGTTAAGGTCACCATTTTTTTTTTTTTGATGGCTTGATTTTTTTATTTCTTGCTTGTGTGTGTGACTGGACAAATTAGGGTATAAATAGAGAAACAAGCCAAAGTGTTGAAAGCTGGTTTCTCTGATCTAAAGTGTTCTGATCAATTTGATTGTGGGTTCCACTTTGAGTCATTGGCCAGTTGTTGTTTGTGTGTAAATTGAAAATTATAATTGGACAAAAATGTTGGAAAATATTGATAAATCTTTGTCAATTAAATGGAGAATAAGAGAAAAGTAATTGTTATCCCGTGACCACAAAAAAGAATGATCAACGAAGTTAATTAATTCGAAAAGGACTTATCAATATTCAATACAAATGCTACTCAGTCACATTGGATCTCTAAAATAGTGTTTGTTCTATTTACTTTTATTTTGCAGGTTTCAGAAAGCTTTATTCGTTTAATTCTCGTATTTTTGTTTTTACCTTTCCAACACTATTATACGTTTTGAAGATTCCGATTTTAAAACCATATTTTCGGAATTCTTTTAAAACAGCAAACGATTAACAATAAACGATCGTTTCACCGAATTTGGAAAAGAAGTGAATTGTTATTACAATGTCGGGTGTTAAAGTATTTACATAGTACAAAATAATAGTAATGTTTTCTTACCACAAATAAAAGTAGGGGGTATTATTCACAAAAATGGCTAGATCGATTATAAAAGTAAATAGATTCAAAAGTTAGATAATGTCATCGTCATCGACTCATCGTAATCAGATGCGCAATCTGTTTATTGGATGGTTTGTGAATGGACTGACAAGTTTTCGGACACACAAGTGAATCTGGATTTACTTTAATTTTAATTTTTTGTGTGTCATTAATAAAAAAACTAAAAGCGAATAATAGTAGTGGATGTAATTCACTTAAGGAACAAAAATACAAAACATAGGAAGCACGAGGGATGTACGTATTTTGTTGCATGGGGGAGATATTGACAAAGACCATCGAGTTGGGTTTTGTTAAATATAATCATATTTCATGTAATAATTTGACGTAACGCTTTATCACTTGTATGGATATATTAGAAAACTCATGTGATCGTATCTTGTGATATAATACATATCAAATAATTGTGAGCTGTATGTATTATTTTAGTTAAAACATAACGAAAATGCTTAATAAATGGTAAATTTAAACAAAAGAATCTATTAGATCTGTCAATCAAGGAAATTGTGTAATGAAATTTATAAAATATGCTTATTGGTTATTATGGTCGACAAATGAATGGTAGCAAATATAAGCTTGCCCCCACAGTTTACGTGTTTCATTCTCGTCCTCGATACAAACAACTTTTTTCGTCCAATACAAACAAAAAAAGCTCTTAAACCTAATAAAACTTATTTTTTGTTGTTGCTAAAATCCTAATAACACTCTTACTCCGACCATTGAGAAAAAGGATTAATATGGGGTTTCAAACTCATCTTCGGGACATATGATATTGTTATCCTCTATGTCAAAAGTAAGAGTCTGACGTAACATACGAAAAGTTGGTTGAGTCGGTACCATTGCTAAAATTACTCGAATGCTCTTTACTTTTTTGTTAATCAATACCAAAAAAAAAAATTGGTGAAATAAACCATTGCAAAAATTGTAGAGCATGATTATAGGTGGGTAATAAGAGTAAATATATGAGTTTTTAAAATATAAAATTATGAAAATTTGAGTAAAAAGATGAAACAGAGTGTTTTTGTGGGGTGTATTGAAATATAAAATTAATAAAATTTGAGTAAAGAGAGGAGATAGTGGATATTTTTGGGAAAGAGGATATATATAGGTTGTATGGGAAGAAACTTTTGGAGAGGGGTTTTAGGAGTGTTTAAATATAAAATTAATAAAAGTTGAATAAAAGGATGAAAGAGAAGGTATAAAGTTGAGTAAAAAAAAGAGAAAGCGTGTGTTTTAATAATTTTATATTTAAGAACTTGCTATATTTATTATGGATAATCATTTGCAAAGGTATTTTTAGCAATGAATTTCATTATAAACCGTTGATAAATTTCGCAATGGCAATCTTGGTGGTCCAAAATAGGGCCCTCCAAAATATCGGGTTGTATGTTGGGATCTTCGTAAAGGATCCAGTTCGTGGTTAACTGGAAAAGAATTCTATAACGTTATTAGTATGTTAATTAATTGTGAATGTGATATGATAGAAAAGAAGAACTAAAACTTAAGACAAACGCTCCTTTGCAACATAGCAGCTCAAGCGACCACTACAAAAAAAAAAGTGTAAGATTGCATCAATTAAATTGTATCACAAAATAAAATGAGATTATTTAAAATCACTTATTAATAAATGATATAAAATAGATGGTTTAACATCNATTATGATAAATGATATTGTTATTGATTAGTTTGATATCACTTCAATAAAATCGATACAAATTTATATTAGTTTACATCACTTTTACAAAATTAATACAACAATATAAATTCACATCGATTATATAACTAATGTATTTATTAACTTTTTGTTAAAATCACTTAACAGAATGATACAAAATCACATCAATAAAAACCGATATCAATAATTTTTTTTAACTAAATACGGCAAAAC